GGGGGTACAGGCAGGAGGAGGGGTTGGGGGTAGGGGGAAAGGTGGGCTCACAAAAGAAGACCTGACTCCAGCCCTGCCGGGGCTCTGGGTGGGGTCGTGGGGTGGGATAATCCCTAGGGCAGAGGGTGTCTGGGTGGGGTGTGCGGAGAAGCCGCCCCCACTCCAGGCTCTGCTCACCTCCGCTCCCTGCTCTCGCCTCGCCGCCCCAGACCTGAAGGATGTCTCTGGCGGACGAGCTGCTGGCTGACCTGGAGGAGGCGGCGGAGGAGGAGGACAACTTTGTGGATGAGGAAGATGAGCCGGCCATTGAGGATGTGCAGGAGGAGATGCAGCTGGACCTCAGCGTCGACTCGGTCAAGAGCATTGCCAAGCTCTGGGACAGCAAGATGGTGAGAGATGGGGCCTTACCCCTCTAGGGGGCACTGGCTCCCATCCAGCCCCAGGGCAGGGACTGGCCGGCTCAGGGAGGCAGGGAATGGGGCAAGGGGCCTCTCCCTTCTAAGGGGTGCTGGCTCCCATCTGGCCCCAGGCGGGGGGCGGGCTGGCTGGCTTGCTTGGGGGCAGTGAATGAGACATGGGGCCTCTTTTCTCTAATGTCATGCTGGGGCATTGAGGTCAGCCCTGACTCGGAGGGGAGAGCATCCCCTACTGCTCCCCTTTCCCCCACTTGCTTCATCTTTTCCAAGTACAGAAGAGCCTGCTGTGTTTTCTCTTGGCAGTTTGCGGAGATCATGGTGAAGATCGAGGAGTATATCAGCAAACAGTCGAAAGCCACAGAAGGTACTGGATCAGGGATGGGGTGTGGGAGCGCAGCTAACCTCTCTGCTCTGACTGCAAAGGTGGTACCATCAGTATCACAGCACCTCCTAGCATTGGGGTCAGCACTGTCTGTGTGGGGAGAGCGCCCCCTACTGAATCCCCACCCTGCTCCCTGCAGCACAGAGCCCCAGTGAGATCCTTACATGCGTTCTCTCCGCAGTGATGGGGCCAGTGGAGGCGGCTCCGGAGTACCGAGTGATCGTTGACGCCAACAACCTGACGGTGGAGATCGAAAATGAACTGAGTGAGTGGCTGCCTTGTGGCGGGCGTTGCTAAAAGAGACGCATGTGGGGGGGGCGCAGTGTGTGTTTGGGGGTACAGGAGGTGCCGTGCAAGGGAGGGGCTTCATCTCCTTTGGCTCATGCTCTGCATGGCGAAGTCAGGGAAGTTCTCTGGCCTGCCTTGTGCAGGAGGTCACATCAGATGGTCAC